TTTTTCTTTATTTGGCAGAACCTTGTTATAAGCGGTGGGTTCCACGCCATAAGTATGGAGGGTGTTTGGAAGTGTACCATCCTGGTATTCACTCCCATCATGTTCAACTGGACTATTGTAGGTGCACTTTAGTGCTGCGTATAGAAAGAAAATGGGGGGGAGCGACCGGTAGTGAGGGTTCCTCATCTTTCAGTTTCTTCCTAGGGGGACTCGTCTCTCCTTAACACATGTATCATTTACTCATTATAGGTATTCCCCTTTACAATTATGTACAACTCTCTAGGTTCTTAAGCCCTTTGTGTTTACTCTATACCCTACTCTTGGGTTAGCGTTCGTGATGATCAGGTAGTTACCAGGATCTTGCGGTCCCTGGCTATGGCTCATGGGGAGAGGTCAGTGTGCTCTAACTCCCCCATGAGGGCCCTCAAGAGCTGTACATTGCTTTCTCTCAAGTGTATGATTTGTGCTTCATAACCTTGAACGTTTTTTCACGATGCGTTAGCACCCCACGTGCTTCCATAAATACTTAGTTCATTACTTTTACTCTTCTGCTCCCATAACTATGTACAAACATGAACAAGTAACATATAGAACTTTGTACATTGGTGGTTTTTTAGTGAAAGTACTATGTAGAGGTCTCTAATTTATTGGTCTATCTATCCCTGATGTATCTGGGCTGTACAAGTATTGGTCTGTTTAGAGACATCTCTGGCATGTCATGATCTTTTCATCCTAAAGTTGATAGCATCTACCATCTGCTGTCATGAGTGTAGTATCAGATGATGCGCCACCCAGTCAGTGCAAACCTAATTATGGATCCACCACGTTTGGTGGTAGAGTACTCTTATATGTTTTGAATCTGTCAACGCAGTTTTGCATCGTGTGTTGTGATTTGGATTGTTTCCTGGCTATGTTCTCATAGTCTAGTTTCAATGTCACCTGGTGTAGAAGGGTTTGTTTGGAGGGAACCTCTGAGGATTTCCAGGCCTTGGCCAAGATTTTAAGTGCGGCTATTAGTGTGTGATATATCAAGACCTATGTTGAGAAACAAGAGAGCCCTTTCTGGTGTCAACGTGATTTTTGACTGGCACATTCCCGTGAGTTTAATTCGAGTGAACGTCCACCATATGTGATACATCATGCCTGCATCACCAGCATCTATCTGATGTGCCGGGGTATATTTTTGCTAATCTCGATGATACCATATACTACCGGAAATAAATCTTCCTCATTAACTCTAAGTGAGAAGTGCATAGAGTCTTACCCCTATGTGCCCTAAGTGTCAGTTTGCCATAAATTTTAGTCTTTATCCCTGGATTCAGGGCGGTTTAAGAGTTTGTATATTGTGAAAATTAATCTCATGACGGCCAGACGTGGTGACCCCAGAAGTGCCCAACAAGGGATTTGAAGTGTCCAGAAGTGCCCAACAGGGTACTTTGCGATCCTGGGCCGGCTGTTTCTCCTCTGAGTCACTATTCAGCTCAAGTATCAGCCTGAAGTCGGATCTTGCCTTGTCTCCAGCACTAGGGCGTTGGACTTTTCCTGTGACTGCTCCAGTCTCTCAGTCCACCTGAAGCAGATGTCTAATCAGCCACGTCCTCTCTCTGAGGGCAGTGTCAGTTCATTGACTCTGTTTCCTGTGTTGGTGTTTGTGATCCAGTGTTCTCAAGTTGGCTCCTGACCTTGGCTTTTTCTTATCATTTTTCCTGACCTCTGGCATCCTCTGACTTTTGGCTTACCCTCGACGATTCTCCTGCCTGTGTCCTTGCCTTACTGTGACTTGGAGCAATATCCTGCACAGCCCCCATGCACAGGCCAGGTGAATTCTTACCTTACCACCTTGGCCTGTGTTTATTTGCAAGGGTGAGCATATATCTCTGCATATCGGACTCCACATCAGGTAAGATCCTGACATAAGGAACTGACCATGGAGTCCGCAAACATATACAAGCTGCTCATCTCCCTTGCTCAGCTAGTAACCAACCTGTTCCAGACTGTTCAGAAGGTGCAGAAGGATGTATTGGCATTTAAAGGAACAGTACACCCAACCCTGGAACCTGCATATTCAGAACCCTTTGTGATTATGCCTGACAGATTTGACGGTTCCCATTCCTCGTTCACAACGTTTAGGATGGGTTGTGAACTCCTGTTTGCCGTTAATCCCAGGACCTATTACAGAGGTCCACTGTTAATATGCATTCTAGACGGCTGAAGATGTGGGCATACCAGAAGCTGCAGGAAAAAAGTGATATCTTGGACAACTGGGAGTCATTTATAACCATAATGGACTCTCAGTGCCTTACCTCCAAGAAAACTACTCCTAAGCCTACTCCAGGATCCTGCAAATCCTGCAAATCTCGGGTACCCAGAGAAAAAGAGGACCCCTGAGCGGCGGGTGGAGGCCCTAAATAAGGATAAGGGGGGGGACCTACTGTCTTCCCCCCGGCCCCCACCCCTGTGCGGTGGGTGGGGGCCCTAAATAAGGATAAAAGCGCACCTATTGTCCTCCCCTCACCCCTAAATAAGTATAGGGGGGGTCCTACTGTCCTCCCACCGGCCCCCACCCCTCCACGGCGGGTGGGGGCCCTAAATAAGGATAAGGGGGTAACCTATTGTCCTCTCCCCGGCCCCCACCCGGCCCCCACCCATGAGCGGTGGGTGGGGGCTCTAAATAACAATCAGGGGGGAACCTACTGTCCTCCCCCTGGCCCCACCCCTGTGCAGTGGGTGGGGACCCTAAATAAGAATAAGGGGTGGACCTAATGTTCTCCCACCTCTGAGCGGCAGGTGGTGGCACTAAATAAGAATAAGGGGGTACCTATTGTCCTTCCCCCCGACCCCCACCCCTGAGCGGCAGATGGGGGCCCTAAATACCAATAAGGGGGGAACTACTGTCCTCCCCCAGGCCCCCACCCCTGAGTGGTGGGTGTGACGAGAGCAATCTCGCCACATTGCATTGGAGAAGCCTGGTTGCTCGCCTGTTGCCTTTGGATTATGTCCCCATGTTAAAAGGCTTGATTTTCCCTTGCAAAGACAAGAAAGCCGGGTCATTTGGTGCTTGCCGTGTTTGAGCAGTGATACCCCAGATAGCTATGCAATGGTGCCCATTCGTATAATGAAGGACTATGGGAAAGACTTTGGCTCCATGGCAATTGAACTGTATGTGTGTGCTCTGAGAGCCATTCAGTAATAATGTGCGCTCGGACCTAAGCTATCTGGGCATATGTTGCATATCTGTATTTTATGTCATAAATGTAACCTTGTGTATTTTATTGTATTTTACTGTCTTTTTGCTGCCATGTGTTCAATGGAGTTTTGCCTCTGTCTTTGGAGATAATTGGATTACTTCTAATTATCTCCAGGATAGAAGACTCTGTGGAACTGGTTTTGGGCAGAAAAGCCATGCTTCCTGTGGTCACAAAGGACTACGATCTATCTTTTGAACCACTGGACCAATTTGTATGATTTTGACATATGTTTGTATTTGGAGTATGCTGATTCTGAAAATGTAAGTTTTATGTGAATGTGATGCATACTTTTCAAGTTATGAATAATGTGAAAAAATTGTATTTCTCTGCTTGTGCTAAATTACATTACCCATTGTGTAAGGTAATTGAATCACATGCAGAGGGGAGGAATTTGTGGGGGAGTGTCTGAGTGTATTGTATGTGTTTATTGGTTGTGTTCCAAAACCCTGTGGGTGGTACTAATGTGTAAGAATGTATACATCAGCACAATAAACCCACAGCTCTGTATGTTCACTGCTTGACCCTCAACACGGAGCTTTGTCTCGTTCTTGGGGGGATTTATTGTTTGCTGTTCCAGTTTGACTACTAGGAGTGTAAACCTATTCGTATGGTTTTTCCTATGAGGCTGTTTACAGCATTCATATGGATTCCTGTTCGGCGGATTGGTGTTCAGCAGTAGCTGTGCCTGCATCTCTGGAAGGGAAGATCTACTAAACGGCGGTTTAACCCTTTTATGCCCAGGGTGCCGTTACAGCGGGTGAATGCCCTAAATAAGGAAAAGGGGGGGGGGACCTACTGTCTCCCCCCCCCCGCCCCCCACCCCTGTGCAGTGGGTTGGGGACCTCAATAAGAATAAGGGGGGGGAACCTACTGTCCTCACCCCGGCCCCCACCCCTGCATGGCGGGTGGGGCCCTATATAAGGATAAGGGGGGACCTACTGTCCTCCCCCCCCGGCCCCCACCCCTGAGCGGTGGGTGGGGGCCCTAAATACCAATAAGGGGGAACCTATTGTCTTCCCCCCAGCCCCCACCCCTGCGCAGTGGGTGGAGGCCCTAAATAAGGATAAGGGAGAGGACCTACTGTCCTCCTCCCCAGCCCCCACCCCTGAGCGGTGGGTGGGGGCCCTAAATACCAATAAGGGGGGACCTACTGTCTTCCCAAGGCCCCCACCCCTGCGCAGTGGGTGGAGACCCTAACCAAGGATAAGGGGGGGACCCCACCCAAATAAAACCTATCCCCTACCTACCCCCCTCACCCTAGAAATAGTGAGGGGGAAATAAAATAACTAACCTGTAAAAAATAAAAATTACCATTTGACGTCTTTTTTTTTTTTTTAACTCTTCATTCTTCATCCCCAAAAACAGCCAATTAAAAAGCCATCATACCTGTAGATATGAATATCCATTTTACTATCTATCCTAGCTGTTCATATAAGGGGTAATTTGAACCAAGAATAATTTTGAAATTGTATCTCCGATTCTCTGAAATAAATTTATCTAAAATCCTAGTTACGAGAAAAGTACTGATTTCGAAATGTTCTTGTTAATTGTCCAATATTTTGGTATTTGTAAATATCTGTTTTTTATCAAATATACGTGTGTTATATAATGTAGGATATAACAAGAAACAGCTGCTTATAACTTGTGCAAAACAATCTATGTTATTGACACGCCTTTATGCTCGTACTCATGAAAACGGGGTATAAATATAACTGACGTATAAAAAAATTTTGAATTGGTTATTGAACACGTCTCTGTCTTCTTAACTGATTTCCAGGATCCTGTTTCCTAAGAGGGAGGGGCTCAGCCAGTATTCATCAAGTCTTCGTGTATAGCTGATTTTATCCCCAACAAATTGGTGTCAGAAGTTTGGGTGCAATTGGAGACGGAAGGTAATTCTCATCCTCCACACTTTGCACATTTAAAAAAATAAATACATTTTAAAGGGGATTTCCCTGCATAATGTCTAGACATGATATTTTTTTTAAGTCTAAGGTACACGTTTATGACTCCTTAGGTAGGCAGTTTTGTGCACAATTGTCTATGGTAGACAATTCCTCCTTGGTAGAGGTTCACCTTTGGCAGGTGGTAAAAAGATTTTCAAGCCTTTGGTAGGCTGTCATGTAAGGTAATGTACATGTGGGTTTTGCAGACTAAAATGGTTTAAAGAATAAAAAAATAAAAAAAAGAGAGAGAGTTAGAAACGTACTTGATGAGTATCTTGGCTGTACTCCAACCTCTGTTTTGCTTACTTTTGATATACAGGGCAAGCAGAATTATTAGGCAAATGAGTATTTTGACCACATCATCCTCTTTATGCATGTTGTCTTACTCCAAGCTGTATAGGCTCGAAAGCCTACTACCAATTAAGCATATTAGGTGATGTGCATCTCTGTAATGAGAAGGGGTGTGGTCTAATGACATCAACACCCTATATCAGGTGTGCATAATTATTAGGCAACTTCCTTTCCTTTGGCAAAATGGGTCAAAAGAAGGACTTGACATGCTCAGAAAAGTCAAAAATAGTGAGATATCTTGCAGAGGAATGCAGCACTCTTAAAATTGCAAAGCTTCTGAAGCGTGATCATCGAACAATCAAGCGTTTCATTCAAAATAGTCAACAGGGTCGCAAGAAGCGTGTGGAAAAACCAAGGCGCAAAATAACTGCCCATGAACTGAGAAAAGTCAAGCGTGCAGCTGCCACGATGCCACTTGCCACCAGTTTGGCCATATTTCAGAGCTGCAACATCACTGGAGTGCCCAAAAGCACAAGGTGTGCAATACTCAGAGACATGGCAAGGTAAGAAAGGCTGAAAGACGACCACCACTGAACAAGACACACAAGCTGAAACGTCAAGACTGGGCCAAGAAATATCTCAAGACTGATTTTTCTAAGGTTTTATGGACTGATGAAATGAGAGTGAGTCTTGATGAGCCAGATGGATGGGCCCGTGGCTGGATTGGTAAAGGGCAGAGAGCTCCAGTCCGACTCAGACACCAGCAAGGTGGAGGTGGAGTACTGGTTTGGGCTGGTATCATCAAAGATGAGCTTCTGGGGCCTTTTCGGGTTGAGGATGGAGTCAAGCTCAACTCCCAGTCCTACTGCCAGTTCCTGGAAGACACCTTCTTCAAGCAGTGGTACAGGAAGAAGTCTGCATCCTTCAAGAAAAACATGATTTTCATGCAGGACAATGCTCCATCACACGCGTCCAAGTACTCCACAGCGTGGCTGGCAAGAAAGGGTATAAAAGAAGAAAATCTAATGACATAGCCTCCTTGTTCACCTGATCTGAACCCCATTGAGAACCTGTGGTCCATCATCAAATGTGAGATTTACAAGGAGGGAAAACAGTACACCTCTCTGAACAGTGTCTGGGAGGCTGTGGTTGCTGCTGCATGCAATGTTGATGGTGAACAGATCAAAACACTGACAGAATCCATGGATGGCAGGCTTTTGAGTGTCCTTGCAAAGAAAGGTGGCTATATTGGTCACTGATTTGTTTTTGTTTTGTTTTTGAATGTCAGAAATGTATATTTGTGAATGTTGAGATGTTATATTGGTTTCACTGGTAATAATAAATAATTGAAATGGGTATATATTTGTTTTTTGTTAAGTTGCCTAATAATTATGCACAGTAATAGTCACCTGCACACACAGATATCCCCCTAACATAGCTATAACTAAAACAAACTAAAAACTACTTCCAAAAATATTCAGCTTTGATATTAATGAGTTTTTTGGGTTCATTGAGAGCATGGTTGTTGTTCAATAATAAAATTAATCCTCAAAAATACAACTTGCCTAATAATTCTGCACACCCTGTATCTCTGCTGTTTGGCTTTTGTGTTTTTTTTAATAATATATAAATAACTTTGCAAGGGATTGGAATTACAGACAGAAAAGATGAAATCCATTTTAACTACTCTGCAGTGGTAGTTATATTTTTAAAAAACGTACAGAATTTGGCTACCATGTTTTTAAACAGAATAAAAACAGATTTCTCTTTGAGAAATGGGTACTTCACAATGTAAAAAATATCCGTCCCCTAATCCCGGGTAAAATTGCAAACAGTATGTTGCTTGAATATATCCCCTACCCTGTTTAACAAGAGGGGATAAGAATTAAAGGAATAAAATGATTAAGGGAATGTCAAAAGTACAAGTGAATGTGATGATGATAAAGAGGAATAAGAGAAAAAAATAGAGGTTAATTAAGGGGGGCTACAAATTCTAGGACTAACATTGTTTCTCTGCATGTATGATTGTAAACATGATGAGCCCCTCCCTCTGAGCCATTTATTTTCATATTGGGACAAAAAGTCACTTCATTAGTTGAAAACGTCAAACACATTGATTGTGACCCAAACTGTGCAGAAGTGGATTTGAAGTTTGGTTATAGAATGTAGGATCAGAAAACCATGGACAAAGGTTTTTACCTGTTGTTATGACTTTTGGAACTCAAATTGACTGGTCCAAATTTTCACATGCCTTTAACATGGAGTAGTATAAATATGTTGAGTCTTTGAGCATTCTGACAAATGCAGGTGATACCATGTCTGTGTAATCTGGTCCAAATGTTCTATAAGCGTATAAGAGAGAATTTCTATTGACAGGGTACATATGTTGCAACTGGTTAATGCAAATGTTTAAGTCAAACGCATTATATGGCCGTACGGGATCCCTAAAAAGAAAAAAAAAAAACTTTGGTACCAGAACTCTTAAATAAATTTAATACAAACTAAAATTGATATACCTTACAATAATATGTTCTGAATAGAGCTGTTAAAAGTTTATTCTGTGTAAATGGTGATTGTGATAAATGTGTGGTTTGGGTAACTCATTTTAAAGTGTGCAGTTTAATTGTCATGTATGTTAATGGGTATTTTGCTGTGTTATTTTAAATTATATTTGAATAAGTTTGTCTCAGTATTGATACAGATGGAAATGGCAGTATAATATATTAAATAACTGATTTATTATTGAATACTCGTCCAAGAGCAATAGGAATTGTAGTCTTAAGCAAAATAAGGGGGAGGCTGTTTTTGTAAGTTTTGGCTGATTTCCAAAATTCTGTTGCAATAATGGACGTCTTGCCAAAATTTGGCTTTCCTGTCCAGTTGCCAGGTTCTCTGATCTAATCTTAAAGCTGTACTGCATGCATAGTTTGCACAAATGCATAATGCACAAACATGGGAACCTACATTATGTCTGTGTTTCTTTTGAGGGACACCGAGTGTGACATTTATTAATTTATTTTGGATTTAGTTAATTGCCTGTCCATGAATAAGTTTTTTGTATTGTCAAGTCTGCTGGATATCTGCTACATTCGTTGTGTTCTGTGTTATAAGATGACATGTGTGATATTACAATGAGTATGAAGAATATTTAAAGAATATTTGCATGTCATTAACGCAAGCAAAAACATCTGCTTTTCAAAATCATGGATCCACGTTTCCATTAGGGGAGTATTTAGAGTTAACTCTACTTTTAAAGTGCATTGCATTATTTAAATCAAAGAAAAAGAAAAAATTGTTATCTTTAACATAAAAAATTGTTATGTTATATGGTTATATAAAAAGAAAAAATGAATGGATGTATAGGATAGGTTTTTTCCAAGATTAAGATTCATTTAGTATGCCTCATTGATTATAACGTAATGATGAAATGGTATTTTTAATAGAGATCAGACAATTTCTTTGATTATAAGTGAGGCAATTCTAAACTACTGTATTATATTTGTATTGGTAAATTGAAAGCATTTTGCAGACCCAGAAGAGAATAAATAATATAATAATTATAAAAGGAACCATACTATGGGAAGAGGTCACCCTATTAACTCGCTAAGGGGTTAAACTCATTTTTGATAAGCATATAAAATTTAGTTTTTGTGGTTAGACTTTTGATACTCAATTGATGTATTACAACCATATCCTTGCAGGTATAGGAAACAGCTGCAATATGATTTTAATATTTGCTATATATTAGTGTTTTTAATGTATTCTGACAGTGGAAAAGTACCTAACTGCATGTCTGCATTACACTTATGACCCAGACTGTCAGTATTGCAAACCCTATATGAAGACTCCGCTTTCACTGTTTATGTATACACCCCTAGACAACTGTGCTATACATACACAATTTAAATATACAATAAATCTTCAAAAGCTTATTAATATTATATCTGTGTGGTACACAAAGAGGGGTACACAAAGAGGGGGTGGGGGGTGAGTTAGGTAATCTCGACCTGCATAAGGAATATGCTTCCTCCTTGTTCACTTTTGGTCAAACTGTTGGCCTGTGACTGGCCCTCTTTGACCCCAACTGAATTTCTTGGGAAGATTCATGAGAAAGATACATCAGGTTGTTTTGATATAAAGAAAGAGGGAAAAGTATGTTGTATCGGTCACAAATGATTGTGATCTTAAGCAGACGAGACAGGGACATTTGGGAGGTGATAGGAGATTGAATCAGAAAAGTTTTAGAGGCAGAGGTAAAGGATTTGATCAAAGGGTCTAACTTTTATAGAGGTGGTAACTTCAGCATTGGTGGAACACACTGTTTTAATTGTGGATAGCAGGGGTTCACCCCAAGGTGCTCGTGGTGAACCCGGTTCTCCCGGTCAAGCTGGCCCCACTGGTACTCCTGGTATTGCTGGTGCCCCTGGCTTCCCTGGTGCCTGTGGTGTTCCTGGACCTCAAGGCCCCGGAGGTTCCCCTGGTGAACCTGGTGCTCAAGGAAACAAAGGAGAACCCGGTGCTAAGGGAGAACCTGACCCAGCTGGTGTTCAAGGACCCACCCTGGCAGGTTCCTCAATACCAACCAAAGCTTCCAACCTATACCCACACCCAACAACCCCAGCCTAATACACAGATGGTTCATGTTTTTAATACTTTATATATAGTTTGGAGTGATAAAACAGTATTAATGCTGGCTCTTAGATGATGTACAAGCTGAAGTTGGGACCTAGACATTGTTTGCATAGGCTGCGCAATGTGAAATAACTAAAATAAAATAGGATAATAATAAGTATGCTTAGTCAATTTGTAATGTTGTATCATATAGGCATCTGCAATAAAATAAGTGGGTTTCCAAGACCTGACAAGTGAGAGCAACTTAATATAACATAAGTCTACAGTTTGCTGTCCCTTCCTTATCAGAGGCCACTTGCAACCTTAACACAGCATGACAACTCTTCCAAAACCTGTATTAAACAAAGCACTTTAGAATAATAGTAATTCATTTTGTTTCTCCTATTTCATTCCTAGTTGTTCTGGACAAAAAGATTGTTTAAGTGGGATAACTGTACAGTATGAAAATATGATCACACACATACAGAACTGGTGGCTTTTTGGACATCGGAATCTATAAAAAGTTTTGGTTTCCAAAAATGTTATCGGGGTCCACACAATTTTTGACAGACTTCAGCATTCCAATTTTATTAAAGTAATTAATTGAGATTATCAAATCAAGATTTAAGTTTAAGAACAGTATTTTATTGGGAATTATTCCAATATGTATATGTTAGTGTTTTAGTACTCATCCTGTCCAAAAAGCATTTATATAGTGTAAGTGCTTCTCGCATCCATACAAAGGCATTCCAAAGGGAAATTGTGTACAAATTCATACAGGACAAATTTCATGAATTATAAGCAAAGCTAAGAGAAGTACATGTTACAAAAGTTAAGGGTTTAGCTTTAGTCTCTAATTTGAATTTAGCCTAGATAATTAATTTATTGATGTCGTACTAATCCTTGTGTTTGTATGATTATAGAGGCCGTACTGGAGTATTTGTGCCGCCTGATATTTGGGACTACACACCAATCTCTCTGGCTGACCTACCTACCTACCTGATTGCAATTAAATCTGTTTGGTCAAAATCCATGCTGGCCGAAGAAACTGAGATGCTTACTTATGAGGACATAAACTAACTTGGAAAGTCCTGAAGGTGCAGTGCTGTCTAATGCTGCTAGTTCTGTATTAACCCTTTCAACAATTTGGGTGTTGCACACAGCATTGTGGTGAACATCCAGCAAACAGAAGAATTAAGAACTATGTGGAAGCTGACATTGTTTTGTTGTCAGCCATATTGCTACCCTTAGCTATTTTATGGTGTCTAAGATTATGGAGCAAAGTTTATGGTGTCTAAGATTCTTTATACTCCTTGAAAGACTTATTCTATTTTTCTGGACTATGCTGGTCTATTGAACAATTTTGTTTATTTTTATTTTTGTAGAGTTAGCCGGAGAGAGAGGAAGTGTTAGCTTACTCAGGCATGGATGTACTATGTGTGTCATTGATGTATGTTGAGTGTACCAAGGATGGATTCCCATTTATTAAGTGTAGATATGACTGGGCTGTCGAAATAGGGATGTGATTAGGAGACATAGGATGCAAGGTCATGATTGGGATTATTGTTAGAATTGCAAACTGATTATAAGTTATCTCATGATTTAATAGGTAAATGGGCCTTTTCCAACTAATCAAGAAGTGTTTACCAATCCTGATACCCGAACTATTTACTTACAAGTGCGGGTTTTATAAGTCACTAATGCTGTCAACGTATGTGATGACATGTCTACACAGTAATGGTCCTCACTCATGGTTTTCCAGATGTGCTTTTTTCCTCAAATATGAGTTTTTGCCACTGGGTTTTTTGAACTGGCCCCAGATCACCGGGTGGACTGGTTCATGTATTGACCCAAGGCTCAAGCTACAGATAACATGATGTTCAGTCTGTTTGAAAATGGTTAACATGTCAGCTGTTTGAAATATTTAACTTGTATGCTCAAAAGATGTATTCAACAGATAATTGAAAAAGCTGAAAATTGACAGCTCAAACTCCTCTTAAAGGGAAAACCTATGGCACAGAGCAAATGTGGGAAATCGAGGTGAAGAAATAACGAAAGTCCCGCAGACGTTATTAGCACGTCTGAATATACCTCCTTTCATTTCTCTGGCGCAGGCTTCCCATGGATATTTTCCGTAAGGTAGATCATGATATGATCTAAGAGGGGAATTGTAGATATGAATATCCATTTTACTATCTACCCAAGCTGTTCATATAAGGGGTAATTTGAACCAAGAATAAATTTGGAATTGTATCTCCGATTCTTGGAAATAAATTTATCTAAAATCCTACTTACGAGAAAAGTACTGATTTTGAAATGTTCTTGTTAATTGTCCAAGATTTTGGTATTTGTAAAATATCTGTTTTTATCAAATATACATGCATTATATAACGTAGGATATAATGAGAAACAGCTGCTTATAACTTGTGCAAAACAATCTACGTTATTGACACGCCTTTATGCATGGAGGGCTCCGCGTAGACTGAGCTCTGCAGTTAGGCTAAGAACACTCTGCTTGGTTGGTTTAAGCCAATCCGAGTGCTCTTTGTCATTTTACACAGCGTGGGAAAGTTATTTAGAATTTTCCCACGCTGTGTAAAATGACTCCTAACACTCTGATTGGATGGCTTGAAATCTAACCAATCAGAGTGCTCTGTGTCATTTTACAAAACGTGGGAAAATTATAAAGAACTTTCCCACACTGTGTAAACTGACACAGAGCACTCTGATTGGTTAGATTCCAAGTCCACCAATCAGAGTGTTATGAGTCAAATTAAACAGCGTAGGTCCCCCCATTATTCTTATTTAGGGCCCCCACCCGCCACGCAGGGGTGTGGTCAGGAGGAGGACAATAGGTCCACATGATTGTTATTTAGGGCGCAGGGGTAGGGGCCAGGGGGAGGATATTAGGTCCCCCCCCACATTCTTATTTAGGGCCAACACACACCACTCAGCGGGTACTTTTTTTTTTTTTTAATAGTGATGCTCACTGTTTAGCGGTATAGCGAGTAGGGGCATTCGGGAGATTTTAATCTCCCTTATGCTATTATGGGGGTCATATTGACCCCCATAAAGTGAGGGGGGACATGGGGAGCTTAGGAAGTGGTGGGGAGCACTGCTCCCTGCCGCTTCTATCTTTACATATTACAAGGAGGGAACTGCACACCGGTAGCTCCCTCCTTGTAATAATCTGATCAAACAAATGAACACTGATATTCACTGTTTCTTTGTTTGTCTGAATTTTCCATTCATTTATTCATCTTTCTGACGAATGAATGAATAGATGAAATTCCCGTTTGCATGCCCAAGTGTTTAACTATCACACTATCTAGTGTGGGCAGATGACGTGTCCCACAGGGCCTTTATATACCCACACAAAGATGGCGGTGCCCTGAATATAGATCGGGGCAGAAAATAAAGTTTAAAAATAGGTAATATGGGGTGCATAGGGGCACTTAGGGGTGACTTAGTGGTCTGTTAGATGTAGTGGAGTTGGGAGGGGGGTTAAAAAAAAAATGAGATGCGGTATGACAGTGCCGAACACCGAACTGGAACCCGAACTGTTACTGAAATGTTCGGGTTCGGGTTTGTGGTCCAAAAATCTTAATGTTCGGTACGAACCCGAACTTTACAGTTCGGGTTCGCTCAACTCTAATTATAAACTTTATAAAACATAGTAGATAATTAAGGAGATATTCCAAGACAACTTTAAACAGTGCAGCTGATACTTACAGAATAAGAAGATCACTGATGGCAAAATTAAACCTTAAAAAACATCCATCATTTAGCAGATGAGTTTCGATCTAATGAGATCTTCCAAGTGCTTAGAGTCCTTTCTCCTTCTCCATTGTCTTTTTTCGGGGTATCCAAATCCGGATCTGGATTGCCGTCAATCCTCTGATGACGTTTACTTCTGAATCTCGCTTAGCCTGCATAGGGCCCTGGGTCCCAACCTCCACCACCCGCCTAGGTCTGGGGTCACCCAATCAGGTGGTGCCCACCCTGCCTGCTCTCGGGTAGGTCATTACGATTCATGGGGTGGTTGGCGGCCCAGCCCAGTCTGGGCCGCGGCACCCTATCCCCCCCTCCCCCGACCTCCAGGATGAGCGCAGGGCCAAGAGTCTGTGCCTTATACATGTAGGAGTAATAGTGGGCCCATTGAGGTCACCTTGAAACCAGGAAATAATTTAGGTGGCTGTAACTCAGGAGCCATCTGCAAACCCCCCAACTCAGCATGTAAGTGAGGACTGTTTGCTAAAGTTCCAGCCCGCGAGCAATTAATATACCTTGGGGGATGATAAACTAAACAGCTTTTTAACTTGACCAGCAGGTCTGGTAAAAAAGAATCAGAGAGGATAGTACCAGTCTATCTTGGGCATTAATTCTGTAGATTAGACAACTACGAAATGGTGGAACATTAGGCTCCAAAAACTGGTAAATAATGTGTACAGCATAAAATAAAGTATCAAATAGTACGGGGGTAGCTAAGGGAGGGCTAAGACTAAAATAAGTAAATGTGTATCTAATCAGGCTTTATTAAGTTGTGCGTCAGATACACTAACTTAAATAGACAAAATAAGAGATAGCAGATAAAGGGAAAGAAATCAGAGAACAGTGGTAATGATGGAAATTGGTTCTAATATTGCAGGAAGTAATCATAAGACCAGAGGCAACAAGGTACTCATGCTGTATGTATCTCCACTTGTACACCCTTGTTACAAGGAAAATAGAAGACTACTATGACCTAAAGGAGAGTTTAAATAATGACATCTAGCCAATACCTCAGCTCTTCTAAAGAAAGCAACAGCCTACTACCTTGGGGGGTGGTGTTGGCTCCGTGAGACGAGAAGGAGCCCTCCATCCCCTGTGGTGTGTAGGCAATTAGAAAGGGGAAGAAACCACTGGAAGTTGCAAGGAGAACCAACATATCCTCTGCACCTTTTACCAGGAAGAGGCCCTTCAGGGTAAGTGCCATCAGCCCTGTAGAGAAATGCCAGTGATAATGGATCTTGTTGGATTATAGGATCCTGGTGAGAAGGTGTAAGGCCAGCCGGTAGGCCAAAGTGGCAAGAAACAGGTCCGGGAATAGTTGGAGGTCAAATCATGGGCCTGCAGGGCTTCCCTTCCTTTCATAGGATGTCTTCTTTTAGCTGAAAGTTAGCCATGCAACATATGACATCTTTAGGGTGGCCTTCAGGAGGGCCTTTAGGCTGGAGTGCCCTGTGGGCTTGGAAAAATCTCATGGGGCTGTCAGTCGGCCTACCTAGCAGTCCATTGAAGATTCCTGTCAGAGTTTCTAGCTCCTCTGGTATGTCTCTGACCCTTATGTTCTGCCGCCTGCCTCGGTTGTTGAGATCTTCAACGTGATTGGCCATCTGGTACATTTGAGCCTTCTGTAAAGGCAGGGCATCAGTGTTGGCAGCTTGTGCATTGGACAGCTGATCACAATCAGCTTCCACTTGGGATACTCACTGGTTTAGCCTTATGGGTCCTCTTGGAGCATGTGCAGACCCGATGTGATTGATTTGCACAGGTCCACATCAGCCTCCAGGAGGACAACCTTGGTAGGTAGATTTTTCAGCAGCATGACCAAGTCTGGGTGTGGGTCCCCCATGATCGGTTTGTGGTTCAAGACTCTTGAGTCATTTGAGGCATGTGACATGAAGTCAGCTGGGGTGACCAAGTATTGTTGTAGCGAGGATGTAATGGAGCCCCTGGGGGTGTCCTGCACCCGGCAGTTGGAAAAGTGTGCTAGACGAAGATTATAGCAGAGCCAGCAGGGAGAACATGAATCACACCACAATGTTCCTTGACCGCCAGGCCACACCCCCTACATTAACTTTCTTTAGTTGTTGCTAGTGATGTCGCGAACCCGAAATTTTCGGTTCGCGAAGGGCGAACGCGAACTTCCGCAAATGTTCGCGAACCGGCGAACCGCCCGAAACGCCATTGACTTCAATGGGGAGGCGAATTTTAAAACACACAGGGACTCTTTCTGGCCACAATAGGGATGGAAAAGTTGTTTCAAGGGGACTAACACCTGGACTGTGGCATGCCGGAGGGGGATCCATGGCAAAACTCCCATGGAAAATTACACAGTTGATACAGAGTCTGGTTTTAATCCATAAAGGGCAGAAATCACCTAACATTCCTAAATCACAATCAATATGGATTGACACCTGACATATGACATGTTGACACCTTGACATATGGATTGACACCTGTCCTCAGAGCCCCTGATGCACACGGACACAGAGCAGAATAGAGACTGGTCCCCCTACATAGGGTCACTTGGCAGATATGGATTGACACCTGTCCTAAGGATCCCTGATACACACTGACACAGAGCAGAATAGGGACTGTTCCCCCTACATCGGGTCACTTGGCAGATATGGATTGACACCTTGTTACAAACTGCTATTTGTAACGGGCCCTTTAAATGGCAAATTGCCCTGTTTCCCTGGGTTGTGGAGAAGCCTCTTTGCCAGCCTCCTCCCGCATGACTATGGCCCCTGGGAGATTGTGAAAATGTATGCACTTTTATTTGGTGTGTATGGCCCTTTAAGACTGTCGGTGGGCATATTGGGGCTTATGGACTCTTTATGTGACTGGTGCTGGCCCTTTAAACACCTTTTTTGGGACATCAGGAAGATTGGGACACTGCCCCTTTAAGGCCGTGTCCCCAGACTTGTTGGGGACACGGCCCCTTTAAGACGGTGTCCCCTGTGTCCCCAGACCTGGTGCAAACCCTTTGTGCCTGCCTTGCTATTTCCCACTTGGTTCAGTAAATGGGAAATTATTTCAGCTGCAGAGACTAAGTCCCATTTGGCGGCGATGGGACTTAGTCTTTTTTTTTTCAGCCTTATTTCAGCTGCAGAGACTAAGTCCCATTCGCGATGGGACTTAGTCGTTTTTTCAGCCTGAAATAGACCGACCTCACAGCCCAAATCTATGGAACTGTTTTGGGCAGGAAAATGTGCTTGCGGTCGGTCATAAAGGGACCTCCAGCTAACTTTTTAACCCCTGGATGGATTTGGCTGATTTTTGGTTATGTTTATGTTTTAAGTGTGCTGATTCCAAATATGTAATTATGAAGATGGGATGTGTAGTTTTAAAGTTACAGGGTATGGCTAAAAACTGTATTTTTACTGCCTGTGTTTAATTATGTTAATCTCTTCCCAAACGTCATTTCGTTCAAAGTGGAGAGAATGTTAAAAAAATATATTTTTGTTCGGAGTGTGAGAAATGCTTTTCAGCAGCTTCTAATCTTAAGCA